TGAAGCGCCTCAGGGTCGAGCGTGGTTTTGTTTAAAGAAGACAACTAAAATAAACGCAGCGAGGGGCTCCCAGGGGGTCACTGTGCTCCTTCCCTCCCCGTCCCCAGCCCCCAAACCCAGCGCAGGTCCCCTCTTCCCTCAGGACTTTCGGCAAGTTAGCATTTTTTTCGTGCTGTTGTTGACAAAAATCCCGGCTGGTTGAGAAATATCCGTGAGGCAGCGCCAGCACCGTCATGCCCCTGCAAATCTCTGCCGGGAAGGATGGCTCATCCCGGGCTGGCCTTTGGGGATGCTGCGGGGGGGAGCCATCGCCTTGCAGAGCACCCCGGGCACGAGGCCGGGAGCAAGCCCCACTGATGGACGGATGGACAGATGGACGCCACGGGCTGAGCGTTGGACCTGCGGATGTTTTATCATTTGCTGGTTGGGCTCTGCAGCAGAAGCGAAGTGCTGGAAGGTCGTCAAGGGCTGAATTAAAGTTGCCTGGCAACCTCCATCCTGGTGCCTCTTCCCGCATCTCGCAGGATTTCCCACCCAAGGTCTGCTGGCTCCCGGGAAAAGGGGGGCCCGAAATGCGCCGTGCTCACAGCCAGACACCGGCCGGGCTTGCCTCTCACTGCATGGCTCTTTTCCCGCAATTCCTTGGCTGGTTCCCACGCCTGGAAGCCGGGAGCTCTCCCCACCTCGTTCCCTGGGGCGGGCGTCTTTCCCCCTGCGCCAGGAACGAGTTTTTGAGCTGAACCTGAGGGCAATGGGTGTGGGTCCCCAGGGGGGTGAAGCGGTGCTGGCTGGTGGGAATGGGGCTGGGGGAGCGAGCGGCGGGGGAGCCCAGGGTGTCACGTGCCGGGCTTGGCCCTGACGAGTGAAGCTGAATTGGTCGCGTGGGGTTTGGAGACCTGGGCTGCCATAAAAAGCACGGTGTAATCGGAGGCTGCTGGTGCAGTCCCGGCTGGCAGTTTTGGTAAGGCTGTTTTGCAACCCCGTAAACAGGAGGAGACCCTCTGGACATCCCGGTCTCCACTGGGAAGCCAGCAGTGCTTGCTCGTGGGAGTCCATGTACCAAAGGGGTGTCCCACGAGGAGGAGGGAAAGCTTCGGCAGCAGTGGAGCAACTACCACCTGTCCACGGGGCAGTGGGATGGGGAAGCACCTGATCCTGCTCTGCAAATCTCTGTCCCATCATCCAGGATGGGTGCCATGGGTGGGCTAGAGAATGGCTGCTTCCACCCAGTGTTTCCATCCTTTTTCCCAGACTCCCTTTAAATTAAAAAGCTGGCATCACTTTTTGGCTGTGCCGCTGAGGAAACAGCCTCGGAGTGGGGGCTATAAGACCCCCATCTTCCCTGTGCCACGGCCTGTGGCTGGCTCTTGCTCCCCGGGTTTGGCTGCCTCACGGCCCTGGTGACCGCGGGCAGCGGGATGGGGCCGTGGTGCCGGGCGGGAGTGCCCGGCA